TTGAGTAATTTTGAGGGGGTAAGGAGAGTAACATAGAAAATTATTTTCCTAAAAAAGATTTTCTACTCACCGACCAAACAATAGAAAATATTTTTCCTAAAAAGATTTTCACTCACCAACCAAATATAAAAAAATAAGTGATAACACCATTCATTTTTCAGGAATACGTTTTTCAAGGAAAATATTTTTTCTTCGTACCAAACACACCCCTCATCAATAATCTTTTACAAATATTGAAACTTCTTTTGTTTTTTATTTTTTATTGTTTGATTAAAAACATAAATTATGTACTTATATTAAAAAAAATATTGTATGGTACAATAGATATCTTAACATGCATGTTTGTGATAATATTACTACTATGAGGCTAGTAAATCTTACAAGCATATTTATCACAAAAAATTAACGTCAAAATTTTAAACAATAATGATCATCTTTATATAGTTTGGCAACCGGGGCAGAGGCAGAAATCAGACTATGAATTTGTTGAACTTAATAAGTTTTGTTCAAACAGTGTATTTTATGTTAAAAAAATTCATTACATAAGAAAAAATATTAAATTTAGAACTCAGTCATTAGTATTTGAAGTCGTTGTTCTAAGGTCATCTCCAATCCTTACCTCCATTTTCTCCTCCAAAATGGAGTAAACTTCAAAATGAAGTAAAGTTACTCCAACCATTACTCCAAAAAAGAATATTCCATTTTATATTCTTCTCTCTCTTCAATATTATATTATTATCTTTTATTTAAATTTTATTTTCTCATTTCTATTAAAAAGAAATTCTATCTTTTTTTTTTTACATATTCATCACATATAATTTATATTGCTTTCTTATATAACCATTTAATATAAAATTATTTTATACCATAAAGTTTTAAATAATATAATTTGTAAGAAAATATTATAAATTATACTCCCTCTGTTCCAGTTTATGTGAACCTATTTCCTTTTTGGTCCGTTCTAAAAAGAATGACCCCTTTCTAAATTTGCTATCAATTTAGTATAAACTTACAATTCTACCCTTAATGAAAAGCTTTTATAACCACACAAATGATCTGGACCCCTTTTTGACTTGTTTGGGACCACAAATTCAAAAAGTCTTCATTTTTTCTTAAACTCCGTGCTCAGTCAAACATGTTCACATAAATTGGAAGGGCGGGAGTATATATTAACGGATAATTCAAATAAAAGTGAAATCATTGAGATACAAATTGATTAAATACATATTACATTATGCTAAAATTCAGATTAAATGCTACATAAATATTCAACTTACACCTCTAGTATGCTCCCATAAATGATCTATTAATGCAATACGAAGTGCAAATGAGCATATTTGTCCTTAATTCTTTTGTGTCGAGCTAAAAATTATTCAAATCGGTGATTTTCATCTACTACTATTTTTACCGTTGGAGGTGGACATTCCCAATCATCTTGAATTGGTGCATTAAGATAATCAGATTGTTGAGACGATGAATAATGCAACTGAGACAAAAAAAGAAGTTTTGACTGTTCAAAAAAGAAAAACTAAGACTAAAAGAATTGAAAGAAGAAAATAAAAGTTTAACGATCGATGTTGATTCTATTGTCGATCCGACTCATCGTGAATTTTTGCGACAAGAACAACAATGAATAATATATAAAATAAGTCAACAGTTCTCACAGTCACAACCACAACAATCCTCGGCCCCATTCACTCAATACTATAATGATTTTGGTGTATCTGAAAACGACATAGGTCCCTACTAAGTTATTATGCTATTTACCGTAGTTTCAATTTTTATGTATTTTAATTTAATGTATTTTCATTTTTAAAATATTTCCATTTTTAATGTATTTTTATTTAATGTATTTTCAATTTTTACTTTTCAATTTTAGCAACATCTAATATTTTATATTTGCACCATTTATTTTTTAAGAAGATTATATATTTTTGTACGATTATAACTTATAATAAAATTAACTTACAATTTTACATAAAAATAATAAATACACGAAAATTAATTTCTAAAAATTATATGCCAAAGTTAAGATGTAAAATTAATATTATAAAGATATTACATAAATATAATTAGGTATATATAAATAGATAAATTAAAAAAGTTAAATAATAATAATAATAAAATAATAAATAATACTAATGGAGGAGATTAACTTTGGAGGGACACTATTCGTCCTCCATTTTGGGGGCAACAACATTGGAGCCAAATATTTCCAAAAAATGACTGCACTATGGAAAAATGCAGTATCATTGGAGATGACCTAATATCCAAAACACATAAAGACTGAAATTCTGGTTCTGCCCCTTTTTGACAATGCCTTTTCTTTTAATTTACTTGTTCAATTACTCTTTCGGTTGTATCCTCTTTGGAAAATATACTTGTCATTAATTTGTTTTTAAAATGATTAAGATTTAGAGGCCGATGCAGATTAATATTTCTCAATTACTTATAATTATGCCACGTTATTAAAATAGAGGCGAACGATGATCAAAAGACCGCATAGCGCAGTGGATTAGCGCGTCTGACTTCGGATCAGAAGGTCGTGGGTTCGACTCCCACTGTGGTCGAATTTTATCTTTTCTCTCTTTTAATTCTTTCTGTTCTACACTTTTAGTATTGGTAAATAATACTCAATCTAGGTACTAAATTAAATAATCCAGCAATAAATTGAAGCTTTGAGCCCCTTTGGCCATACAAAATTTTCACTTTTCCTCAAAAAAAAAAATTCACTTTTTGTTAAATCAATGTTTAGCCATAAAATTTTCAATTTTCGCTTGAAGATGAATTTCAGAGTTTTTCACTTGAGGTCACTCACAAAAATTCAAAAACAACCCAAATGGTATTCATGTCCAAACATAACTCTAATTTTTAAATATCATTTTCACTTGAAGGAAATTTTTCACTTTTTTTTTTCGAAATTTTACGATTCTTATGTCCAAACGCCCACTAAATCTTTTAGGATGGTTAAAGGCTGAAAACAGTTCACTATAATCATTATTAAACCTTAAAGCTTAACATGAAGGGTGTGTTTGATATAACGGAAAATGTTTTCCAAGAAAATATTTTCTTGGAAAACAAGTAGAAATCTTATTCATTTTTCGGTGTTTGGTACGCAAATTAAGGAAAATGACTTCTCAAGAGTATTCATAAATAATTTAGATATAATAAACCATAAAATTTTTCGGTGTTTGGTACGCAAATTAAGGAAAATGACTTCTCAAGAGTATTCATAAATAATTTAGATATAATAAACCATAAAANAGTAAAAATTCTTTTTGTGCGGGGAGGGGGGGAGGTAGTTGGGTGGGTGGTAACGGAAAAACTGAAATTTGAAAGGAAAAAAAAAACGTTTTTTTGGAAAGGGGGTGGGGTGGGTTAATGAGGGTGGGAAATGTTGAGAAGGAGTTTTGGAAAATGTTTTCCCTTCTCTTGATAAGGAAAATATTTTCCTCCAATTGGAGGAAAATAAATTGTTAAGGAAAATATTTTCCAAAACATTTAAGCCAACCAAACATGGGAAAATTGGAAAACAATTTCCGAAAAATGTTTTCCTCGTACCAAACACACCCGAAGCAAGGCCTTTTTCACATGAGTTTTTGTTTTATCTTTAAAAAGAAGCAACGGGGTTTTGATGGTTTCCACTTCCTTCTGTTCATAAATTAGTAGCTAACTTAAAATACAATCAAAGGTAAATGATTGTTAATGTCAATTCGCTTGTTTTTTGGTATTTGGAAAAAACTTAACTTAAACACCTTATTCTGAAAAAATAATCACTTCCAAGTTCTCAAAAATTTGGCCAAAAACTATAAACATATAATGAAATGCTATATCTTTTCAAATTTTTTATTTAAAATACTGCTGAGAAGAGTACATTCCAAAAAGTTACCTCAACCTCTGGTGAAGAAAATTACTTGGGATGTATTACCTTGTTACCAGTGGAACAATTGGGTTAGATTAAGGGATTTTACGCAAATAGTCGACCTGATTCATTATTTATTCTTTGATATGTATACAAAGATAATACATAGTTATACATGTATTATATATGAATTATATATATATATATATATATTATATCCATTGACTATTTTAATTTAAACGATTGGATGGACGATTATTTAAGCTAATTCTTCTTAGCGAGGGATTAATGCTATAGCTTAAAAATTGCTTAAATAGATAAAGAAGCAGCAAACAATTTATAGAAATATGATACTTTTTGAGGTGATCTTTAACCTTTTGAACATAACTTTAAGGTCAAAGGTTAAGCGTGTTGCCCATAAGCAAGCGTGGGGCAAAACTTGTTAACAGGGGCAGATCCAACAATTCAGCTATGGGTTCAATTGAACAGTAACTTTTATTCTAGATATTGATTTTCGGTATAAAATTTACTAAAATTGCTGAAAAAATTGAAGCTATGTACCCACAACTCAAATAAGATGATGGGTTTCAATTTTGAAACCGAAATCTTAAACCTGCAGAATTAGTCCCCGTTTGGACATAAAATTTGAAGATTTTTTCAAAAAAATTTCACTTTTTTTCGAAACCAGCGTTTATTCATAAAATTTTTAATTTTCACTTGGAGATGAATTTTAAAAATTTTCGAAAATTTGAAAAACTGCAAAAAGTTGTTTTTCAAAATTTTCACTCAAATCACTCATAAAACTTCAAAAACAACCCAAACTGAAATTTATATCCAAACACAACTCTAAAATTCAAATACCATTTTCACTTGAAAAAAAATTTCATCATTTTTTCGAATTTTACAATTCTTATGTCATAACGCCTACTTAATTTTCTGGATCCGACTTTACTTGTTAAACTTAAAATTCTATTTATGGGGCCAGTGATGACAAAAATTTAAGATCATCCACTTTGAGGGCTATTTGTGTACTTCAACCAATATGTCATCCAACCATGGGCTTACAGATGGAAGTTGGAGTTGTACCCCAGTAGAAGCCCAGCCCATTTAACCTATTGCTCTGTTCTCTCTGTCTCTTCAATGATCACTGAAATCAAATCCTACAAACACCAGGTAGTTATAGTTGCTTCTCTGCAACATCATTTTCATCTTCTTACATTATTAATCATACAATTCTATTAGTTTAAACTCCCTAAATCACACACACACACACACACACACACGAAAATTCACTTTTATCAGTTCCAAAAAAAGCTATGAAATTGCATAAGCAGTCTAGCAGAAGAGATGAAGAAATACCCAATTCTCAAATAAGCTTACCATACTCACCAAAGACCCTCAAACATCCAACTAGATCTCTACCCAGATCCATTAACTATCTCCTCAAAGAACAAAGACTTTTATTCATTCTTATTGGTATTCTCATTGGTTCCACTTTCTTTATATTTCAACCTAGTCTTTCTCTCTTAAGCACATCTTCTGAACCACATTCTTCAATTCCCAGATCATATAATGCTTTAAATCATGAATCCTTATCAACTATTTCATCTTATAATAATGTACCAATTTTTAAAGGGAGGGTACCAGTTGGGGTTGGGAGAAAAAGGATGAGGATTGTAGTAACTGGTGGGGCTGGTTTTGTTGGGAGTCATTTAGTGGATAAGTTAATTAAGAGAGGTGATGATGTTATTGTTATTGATAATTTCTTTACTGGGAGGAAAGAAAATGTGATGCATCATTTTGGGAATCCAAGATTTGAGCTTATTAGGCATGATGTTGTTGAGCCTATTTTGTTGGAAGTAGATCAGATTTATCACTTGGCTTGCCCTGCTTCTCCTGTTCACTACAAGTATAATCCTGTCAAAACTATTATATCCTTTTTTTAAAGATTATTTTTTGGTTTATTTTTCAGATTTATCGTAGAAACACCTCTTTTGGTTTTGTGTATGTGTGTGTCTGCATGATAATTAGTTCAATGTTATTGAAATGAGTGTTCTTTGATTTGTTTATTGAATTAGTAAAATACATGTCAGAACTGTTATATCAGTTTGGAAGGGGAGCTTTAGTGCAACAGTAAAAGTTGCTGGCCATGGAAATAGCCTTTTGCATAAATGCAAAGTAAGGCTACGGAAAATAGACTCAATATAGTCCGCCCCTTCCCCGGACCCTCCTCATAGTTGGAGTAGAGGTGGAGTTAGGATTTGAACTTTATGAGTTCTAAATAATAGGATAGTGATATCACGTGTTAGTAATTGGGTTCTGAATTTAATTTTTGTGCATATTTACTGAATTTCTTGATACAAATACAGTGTTTGGGCGAAAGCTATTGAGTTCAGTCTAACCCGTACCTCGCCTAATAGAGCTTAGTGTACCGGCCTTCCCCAACTGTTATATAAATTCTAGATCATTACTTGGCTTATTGTTTATTGTTAGCTTTATGTATAATTCTTCTTTGGTTTTGTGTGTGTTTGTGCTAGTATGATAATTAGTTCAGTGTCATGGAAATGAGACTTCTTTGGTTAGTTTATTGAATTTGGATGCATTTGAGATCCTTAACTGTGATTACAAGACAAATGTGATGGGCACGCTTAACATGTTGGGCCTTGCGAAGAGGATTGGTGCGAGGTTCTTGCTTACCAGTACAAGTGAGGTTTATGGTGACCCACTCGAGCATCCTCAAAAGGAAACATATTGGGGTCATGTGAATCCAATAGGTCTGTAGAAACTGAAATACTTTCTTGTATAATGAAAGTTATCTCTTCAGCTGGTTTTAATGATGCTTGAGCATCTTGAAACTTCTAGGTGTTAGGAGCTGCTATGACGAGGGAAAACGGACTGCTGAAACATTGACTATGGATTACCATCGTGGTGCAGGTGTAGAGGTAAGAAGATTTGTCCTTTTTAATAGATAATGTAACAAATGATTTGCTGAATGCTTGTATGTGCAATTGAACAGGCTCCTTGTTTCTAATTCTTTTAAAATTCTATGCAAAATTATCCAGGGTGCTTTAGAAACTAAATGCAGCATCTTTTGCCTCTAGTACTGAATGAAATGCACTATAATTTTTGTGCCATCAGGAAACTCATCACTGAATCATCTTCTTGTGCTGATTAGATGACTTGAATAGGGTGAAAATTTTGGTGATCTAGACTCTAGAATAGTAGAATGCATGCTATTTATCTCCTCTTGGCCTTTATACGTTAGGCTTTTATACCCTTAGGGGTTGTTTGGTAGCCGGTTAGGGGGAAAGTTATTCATGTATTAGGGGTAACATAACTTATACCATGTTTGGTAGCCATTAGTTATTTTGTACAAAATTCAGCATAACTAATACCATGTTTGGTTGGCATTTTACAATTCTACATAAATAATACATGTATAAGTTACGCGTCAATCTGTATATTATTTTATGCGGGGGAGAAGATGGAATAACTAATACATGTATTAGTAATACATGGATAAAATACTAAAACAACAAATTTACCCCTATCAATTTACCATAAATCATTGCCATTTTCTCCAGCAAACTTTTCACTGCCGTTTTCTCCAGCAAATAACAATCTTATGCTATGATGTTTTTGAATTACTAAATAAAGTGTTGTAACAATATAGCAAAAAATTCAACCAAAACCCAAGAAAGAATTATATACACTACAATTGGCATTTCCCTTTTTTTTGAATTTCACGTGCGTTATTCAAGGACTAATCCCTGCATAACTAATACATGCATAACTAATCCCTGCATTACTTATTCTTGCATAACTAATACCTGCATAACTAATACATGTATAACTAATACCTGCATAACTCTAATCGGCAACCAAACGACCCCTTAAAGCATAAGAACAGCTAGTGTTTGGGCACTATAATGGAGAATTTGGAAGACCCTTTTTTATTATTGTTAAAGGTAATATATTGATTTCAGCAATTAGAAAGTGCTGTGAAAGTATTTCGATGACCCTTTTATTCTGTCCGAGATGTCTGAACTTAGAATGTGGACAGCAGGAGTTATTTAATTGCCTGGTTAAAGTAGAGCAGAAACATTCTCGAAAAAGAGAAGATAATGGCAAGTGACAAAGGATAAATTATGGTGTAAAAAGTTGCTATTTTGAGAATGAATATTACATCTCAAAATGCAAAGATCAAGCTGGAGGGCAGTAATATGTATATGTAATGTGACTTGTTCTTTAGACTCTTTCTTCCTTGAACAGTAGGAAGCTGCCTACATGCAATTCAGACCTGTATGTTAACATGTGATATAGCTTGCTGGAGTAATTATAATATAAAATCAAGGTGCCTATCCATCAAAATTAATTGTTATTTTCTGGATTTTAGTGTTTTCTCAAGAAAAGTTTGGAAATTCAACTTGAAACCTATTGTCTTGCTAGCTCTTGAATTTGTGAAGTTGAACAAACTCCATGATATTATGAGGAGAGAGAATGGAATATGGGCAACAATGTAGAAAGTCATTTTTCCCCAAAATAAGATTCATTCTGAAGTTAAGTTCTGTATTGTGTCCTCCCTCTTTCCACTTGCAAAAGCCAAATGAATTCAAGTGGTAAGTGGTACCACACGATACATGCATGTTTTACATGTACATCATGGATGGAGTAGAATTTTACAGCTTAGAATCTTTGCGTGCAGGTGCGTATTGCTCGGATTTTCAATACGTATGGACCTCGCATGTGTCTAGATGATGGACGTGTTGTCAGCAACTTTGTTGCCCAGGTTTGTTCTCTCGTCTGGTAATATCATTAGTTTAACCTGAGCTTGCCTTTTAAAGTCCTTTTGTATTACTTATTATTCTAAAACCATGTTTGCAGGCCATTCGCAACCAACCGATGACAGTATATGGTGATGGAAAGCAAACACGAAGCTTCCAATATGTCTCTGATCTGGTACTGCATCTTAATCTGTTCTCTTCCCCATTCCCTGTCTCTGCCTTAGCATGTTATGAACTACATTTGACGTTTTCTTAAATGCAACATATTTCTTTTTCTACTCTAAAGATCTAGTTTTCTGATAAATTTGCTTCTCGATTTTACAAAGTGAAATTCTATTATTGAGCAAGAAGTTAAATTTTTGGAGTTCTCATCTTCAGAATTTTGAAGTTCATTAAATAGACAAAAATGTTTTGCTAGATTTTGAAAGATCTATGGTCTCTCTATCCCAAATTGACTACCTAATTTGACTTTTATATATATTAAGAAAAAGAAAACTTTGAACTTCTTACAATATTTGGTTTATTGTAGACATGTTAGATTTAACACGATGTTGATACTATCTATGTAGTGAACTACATGCTTCAGATTTAACACGATGTTTACTAAATGTAAAGGGGTTGTTTCAAGAAGGAATATCATGTGAATGGAACCTTATATGGTTGGACTTCTATTTTTTTTGTGATAAATATATAACTGACCTTCTATTAACATCTGGACTTGTTTAACTATGTATTTTGAAGTTCGTTGGTCTGACCGAGTCGGCATAGTATGGATTTTGTGAGATCTGCATAGTCTAAGTTGGTTGTGGTCCTTTGTTGCCTTTTCCTGCCATGATTAAAAAGAGACGAAGAATGTGGTCTTGTTACGTTTACATCAGGGATCTTTCTTGAACCCATACTTATATCCTATTTATTTATAGATTAGTTAATCAATAGTATAACAGACGAGAATCCATGGTGCGTTCTATTTTGCTGGTAATTTTGGCATTAATTGACAATGCTATTGAATGATTCAACCAGATGTTGGAACTATAAAGAAGCACTTTAGAGAGTATAGAAGACAGACAAAATAAATGCTGATTTGGCTCCTAAGAAAAAATAAAGTGAAATATGATTATATCAGTGTTTACTGCCGAAGTGTAGACAAGTTGAGTATCTTGGCTCAGTGATCCAGGCGAATGACATGATAGATGTAGATGTAACACAGAACTAAAATAAAATGACTGAAATGTGGAGTTCCATAGAAGTAGTATGTGATCGGAAAAATCTTAACAAAGGGAAAGGCCAAGGATGCTATGAGAGTGAAGGTTGCCTTAGAACAATGTTAATTAGAATGAATGTTAGACCTCTAAACTCTAACATGTCTACAAGATGAATGTCGTAGGAATGCAGATGTTAAGACTTAAAATAGAAATGTGGTTACAAGATTGCATGGATTAGAAATGACAACATTTGGCGGATGGTGAAAGTAGCATACACTGAGGAAAAAATGAGAGGTCTCGCTTGAGATGGTTTGGCTATATCGTGTGTACCTCCATATGCTCATCAATAGGTCTATATGATGATTGGATGTAATAAAAGATGAATGAGGTAGACCATAAATTACGTAGAAAATATTATCTCAAAAGGCTTACAATCTATTCTAACTTCTAAGTAATGTGGAGTCAGCTAAGTAAAAAATACAATGATAGGTCTATATGATGATTGGATGTAATAAAAGATGAATGAGGTAGACCATAAATTACGTAGAAAATATTATCTCAAAAGGCTTACAATCTATTCTAACTTCTAAGTAATGTGGAGTCAGCTAAGTAAAAAATACAATGATAGGTCTATATGATGATTGGACGTAATAAAAGATGAATGAGGTAGACCATAAATTACATAGAAAAGATTATCTCAAAAGGCTTACAATCTATTCTAACTTCTAAGTAATGTGGAGTCAGCTAAGTAAAAAATACAATGATAGGTCTATATGATGATTGGACGTAATAAAAGATGAATGAGGTAGACCATAAATTACATAGAAAAGATTATCTCAAAAGGCTTACAATCTATTCTAACTTCTAAGTAATGTGGAGTCAGCTAAGTAAAAAATACAATGATAGCAAATGATTCGTATAGGTGGTTCCAACTAGTTTTGGTTTACACTTACATTAGCTCTGACAATAGTTAAAAGTTTCTTTTACTTTTATATTATGATTAGGGATTTGTATGTTCATATGGGATAAATGTATTTAGAAAACTTCCAGGTTTAGAAGACCCATATTTTTTCTTAAAAACAAATTGTTAGTATTAGAATGAAATGGACCTAAATAGAGCGGCATTAATAGCCACGGAAGATTCATATAGCCGATCATACAAAGTTTTGACTAAGGTTTAGCTGATTGACTGATTGATGTTTAATTGAAAAACTTCACAAGTATAAACTTGACTAATGTTTATAAGAGTCTAGAGCTCATAAGAGAGGGCTTCTTTGTAATTATAAATATATTTAACCTAATTAACTTTGCTTTGATTAAAGGTTGATGGATTGGTGGCCCTCATGGAGGGTGAGCATATCGGCCCTTTCAACTTAGGAAATCCGGGAGAATTCACCATGTTGGAGCTTGCTGAGGTAAGTCATACTTATTTATGCATATGTGCATGTCCACAGATATGTTTTCGGACTATCTGTATGGTCAATTCGTGGTGAATGTTGCTCATTGAGGAATTCAAAGTTTGTTCTCTCCATGTAGTTACAAAGAGAATATCTGTGTCACTCGCATCCTTCATAAGAAGGGGAACCTTGGAGCAACGATAAAGTTGTCCCCATGTGACCTATAGGTCACGGGTTCGAGCCGTGGAAGCAACTACTAATGCTTGCATAATTGCATTAGGTTAGGTTGTCTACTTCATATCCCTGGGATGCGGCCCTTGCCCGTACCAACGGGATGTTTTTTGCACCAGGCTGCCCTTTACTCGCATCCTTCATAAACAGATGGAACCTGTTCTATTCTCATATTTACTTTCGTTGGTATTGCTCTACAATAAGCTTGAAATCTTAGTTAAAAGACTGAATTTTTTCTCTGTGTTGGTTCCAAGTTTTGAAATATTAAATTTGCATGATGTAAGTATTTTTTATTGCTATAGTGGATACATTAATCTTCAAATATAAAAGAATAGTTGTTGGAATGTCTGATGATACTTATGGTGGAGCTGTAAATTAGGAAATGAGATCTAACAAGATTTCAGCATCTTTTACAAGTTCCAGTTTACACCAAAACATAATAAGCGCTTAACAGTCAAGTTGTAGTAATTTACTATTTAGAGCATGAAATGTATAATATTTAACCAAATTATGTATCTAGTTTTAAGTGCTAAGTTATGTTATCAATACAGTCATAAACTGCATTAACTTGGAAACAGGTGGTTAAAGAAGTGATTGATCCCAGTGCAAAAATCGAGTTCAGAGCCAACACGGCCGATGATCCTCACAAGAGGAAACCAGATATTAGCAAAGCTAAAGAGCTGCTAAACTGGGAACCAAAAGTACCCTTGCGAGAAGGGCTTCCTCTCATGGTCAATGATTTCCGCAATCGCATATTGAATGAAGATGAAGGAAAAGAGAATTAATAAGGGTAGATGCAAAAATAGTATGTATAGCGCGAGACAGTCTGTTGTTTATTACATTCGAAGTCGATATGCATTTATTTTTTCTTCATTTTTGTATTTCCGTTGTAATAGCTGATGGCATGCTAGCCATAAGCCACATCTATAGCCTCATATTTTTTCTTTTCCATTTGATTTTTTTTCTCCTTCCACTTCCTGTAATTCCAACAATGCTTTGATTTGATTTCTCTTTTGGGCACTGCCCAATGATGTTTTAAAAGAAAATGTTTTTGCTATGATCAATTCTCCAAGTCCCTATCTTTTTTCTCTGAACACTCATGTTTTCTTACAGGAATTATATTTCTTACTTCAACCAGGGAATTTTCTGTTTTGCATGGACAGATTTTCAAGTTTTTATCTTTTGCTAATATCATTAATAATTGCTCATTTGGTTTTTATATGTATATATTTGCCTCCAAGGCTTTGGTTTAGTTATAAGAGCGCAACCGTGATATATGGATTTAGTGCTTTATTTTCAAGCTTCTATCTTCAGTTTTTAATATTGTTAATTTTTTAGGTTTTAACTTATATATACTGATAGCGTAGATTTTTTTTGCACTATCGATGTACTTTAACTTGTTTGTTGTAGCATGTAACTTGTTTTTACTGATCTTACTTTTTACGGTCGGTTACCTGTAATTCTCTTTAATGTGACCTGATAGTGTAAGTAAAAATTCTTGTCATAAGTGTTATAGAAGTTAAACTCTATTAATTGCTGCACTTGTTTTTTATTAGTATGGTCTTTCATTACATGATTTTCCTAGTTTGCTGCATTGAATTTTTGTAGGTAAATTTTCAATTGCTTCCTCTCTGCATTAATACACAGAGCCCCTCTCTGAATGATGGCTATGTTTTAATTCTTTCAATTAAAGCCTAGGAAGCTCTCTGTCCTGATAATGTAGATAAAAAAAAATACTGACATGTTCTTGGAGTCAGCTTGAAGGGGAGCTTTGGAGCAACGGTAAGTTGTCTTTGTGAGACCTATAGGTCACGGTTCGAGTCATGGAATCAGCCATTGATGTTTGCATCAGGGTAAGCTACCTACATCATACCCCTTGGAGTGTAGCTCTTCCTTTGACCATGTGTGAATGTTGGATACTTCGTGTACTGGGCTGGCCTTTTCTTCTCGGAGTCAGCTTCAGAAACTCTGTTCTAAGTAACCTTTGATGTTCACTAAACTGCCTATATTAAGTATTTAAGCTTTCCTTACTTCCTGTTAAGTGTTAACTATGTTGGTGGGGTAGAGATAAAGTGAATAAATTGTGAAAATAAACTAGCAGGCATGCTAAATGTAGGAATAAGTTTAATGGTACAAGTTTACTAAAGAGTAATGCATTTGGTTATGTGGTAAAGGAAAAGAAGAAAAACAAGTGAGAAGAAGATTGAAAAAAAGAAGTTATTTTCTTTAGGCATCAGATTCTGGTGAGCATTATTGAAGAAAAGCAAGCAACATTGTGTCTAATTCATCAAACATGCAAGAAAAATTCCACACATTTTGCATATCGACTGGCATTTATTCTGTTTGATTAGAATCTGAATATGCTGATTTCCTTATGGAGAGTTGTCTTGCGCCTTTAGTTGTTCTCTATCTATCCACCCGTGTTGGTTTTAAGTACAGGTACCCTATCGCTCAAATTCGTGTATCTTATTCTACGACCGAAAGCACTTCCTTCTCTACCACCACATTTAGGAAGTTTTAGGGATATAATAACAAGGATGCATCAATCCCAAGCAGGTTGGGCTCACTATATAAATCCTGATCATACCATTTCATTTAATTTCATCATATTTTACATCTTAATCATCATAATTAATAATAATAATAATAATAGTAGTAGTAGTAGTACTCAAAATGATCTTTTTCCAAAATGAAATATTTGTGGTGTGAAAATGGAGGCACATTAAGAATTTAGAAATGAAGTATGAAGTGCTTGAAAAACATTATTGCAAAGTAGATGAGTGATCATGCCCAACTATACCTTATAAAAGACAAAGCGGTCGTTGCAAATATAATCCGGTTTATAAGTCCGGAGTCGTATTCTCAGGGAGCTAACCTATCTATTACAACTCTTGGTGAAGCTATTAGCTCAAACAATTTCCGGGTGCAAGATTTCTATCAATAAATATTGGGTTTTTGTTTAACTACTTCAAAATGATATTAAAATTAACAATAAGCTAAATCAAAGATAATTCAATGGTAAAAAGGTCTAGGGTATTGATTTCCCCAATTGCTAGCTTAAGTCTTAACTCCTTGGCTATAATCTCGCTGTAATACTCTATGAGGATTATGAACTATGGGTTATCGCAATTATCTCTCGATCAACTACGATAATTTACTAGAGCATTCTCTTGAACTACTCTAGCTGGCAATTTATGTAGCTCTGAATTATCCCACTAAAGTTTCGTTATCTCTAACCCCACTTTTAAGTTCAAGTAATGGATCTCTTCAATTACCCAAAAGTGGTGTTGTTCAACCGCAGTCTAACCTAGTATTCCTTCTCAAGCAACACAAGGCAAATAGACACGATTAATCAAGGGCCCATTCAATTAATCACCATACAAAACATAGTTGAACAATCATATAATAAACCCGGCTCGATTATAACAAAGCTAAGTCAAAACTTCATCCAACAATTGGTTCCATCAACCCTAGATCAAATGTTTAGCTACTCATAGCAAAGCAAGATAGAACTACAAAAGTATTCATGATGTGCAATTGCAATAATAAAGAGAAGATAGAAAAACTCTAATGTTTGGTTGCTCTTCTCACACTCGTTCATGCCTCCAAATTAGTCTAAAAACAAGCTTAAAACTTTCTTGGGCGAGTTTCTTGAGTTTATAAGGGTTTGGAATAAGTTTTTCCTGATTTACACTTTAGTCCCAAAAGTTCTGGGCAGCTACACAGTCTACCGCGACCGCGGTAGGAATGCGGCATTGCCGTGGTGAAACTCGAACATTCTGTCTTGCTTCCTTGGCCTATCACGGTCCAGCCGCGGTTGACCGCAGTTGTGGTGGCCTTCAGCCCAGTCCTCCTTTGCTTTTTCTTGCTTATTTTCGCTCGGGTTCTTCTTGATTGGCCTTTTATCCACATTATTGACTCCCAAAACACTCCATAGTCTCTTTCTAACTCGGATTAGTCCATGCGAAGCAAAAGAGTACCAATTAGAGCATTTTGTTATCATTTAACCCTTAAAACAACAATAAAGCATGGTACATTTAGGTGTAAATATCGGTCTATATAGCCTATTATCAACACCTCACACTTAAATCATTGCTAGTCCTCGAGCAATCCACCACACTCTATCAGAGTTACTTCCCTAAGCTTCTCCTTTAACGTATCACACCAAGAACAACTCACCAAGTTTGCAAATAGTAGTGAACAACTTTTTCCTCAAAAGTTGAATCTCACGTGCCGTGCAATATTCTTACTTACTCAAACTACTCTATACAGAAGTCAAGACTTACCTTTCCTTCGTGAATCACATGCTCTCACGTCACACAAGAGAGTAGTCCCACAAATAATATTATTAAGAACAATTAGGAACTCAGATAGACAAAATTCGCTCACTCTCAAAAAGAACATTCACATGCCACAAAGATGCATCATAGGCTTGCCCGTAGTGTACTACTCTACTAATTGATCCCAGTTAGTCTAAGATTAATTAGGACTTCACTTGGTTGTAATGTAGGCTAAGGGACGGGTATGATATATTTGGATATAGTGACTAACCTCCCTAAGCACTTTTAATACAATCACATTAACCTTCAAAATCATACTTATGTCAATCAGACGTTCCACCACATTTTTATTTATAACATCCCATTCCTTTAGGTGCAATTGTATCAAGTCACCACTTATCAATTGCTACATTTACTCATTTTTTTAAGTGGTGATTTTTCTTTTACTTTTCCAAAAATTGCACCTTTCCTATATTTCATTAGTTCCACTCAAAAACCAAACCACCACCCCACACTTTAACTTTTGCATATTTCAAGGCCATTCAAGTGCTCATGGGAGGTAAAAGAGGTTCAAACAAATGGGCCATTCAAACAATTGGGTAAGGTTCACAATGTGGTTGCCAAAGAAACAGGATTATAGACTCAACGGGGTTGACTACGATGTATTATATTTAGGTTGGTCTATTTTATATATCTGGTTTAACAAAGAAATGCCTATATCACTTCTAAAACTGACTGAAGCTACTATTTCGCTTAACAAACACACGGGGCAAGTTCTAGGCATCAAATGTAAAACAAAGAATACAGTTCGGGGCAAGAAAACAACACCATACACAGTTATACAATTTTTACAACAACAACCATCCCCCACCCCACACTTAAAACATTGGCATGTCCCCATGTCAACAAATATAAAGCAGAGTTAATGGGACTTCCCTGAAGCTCAATCTTGATCAGAGATGGTGCCAAGATCGAGGTGACACGCTCGTCCTAGTTCCCGAAGCCATCCCATAATCTTTTTCTCCGACTTGGCATATTGAGTGGTCATATTGTCAACTCTGGTGCCCAGGTCAATGACAGAAGTGCGGAGACCAGCCATGTCTTGCTCCAGGGCTGTCATACGGGTACTTCGGTGGGCATGTGATGGGCCCGCCTCATCAGCTCTCGGTGGTGGTGGAACAATAACATCCTCAGAATCCTCATCAGCTTCATCATCATTCTCAACCATCACTACCGGCTCTCTCCCAATTGAGATTTTGCTAGCCCGGAACGGGGCTTTCAATGGAAATTTCCCATCAACTCTAGGATTTTCCGGAGCTCTTGCAGCACGGCAAAACCTGGTAACCAGAGAGGGGAAGTAAAATCCTTTGAGTACCTCGGGGGAGCGAATTAACATCTCATCATGGAGGAGCCTGGCGACATCAAAATCTTGGTGGGTCAAAAAAGAGTAGATCGCAGATGCTCGTGGCCCATTGACATCGGTCATATTGCTGGAGGGTAGCAGCTGACTGTTGATAATTGTGAGCCAACACTTAGCCTCCCAATTGAGGGATTGTGAGTTCAATGTGATCCGGTGCTTTATCCATATATGCTCCCTGTCAGGCACACATATTGCTTCTAGAATTGGTCCCCACCAGATAGTTGGGCGATGAGAAGCAACATTACAATCTCTATCCCTGATGAATACCGGCAACCGGTACAATCGGGGGATGGCCTCAAGTGACGTATTTACCCGAGTGTTCCGGACTGTGACGACTCCATTCTCTTACTCCGGGCAGTTAGTATAGAATTCCCTCACCATCTGTACATTCGCCTCTTCCAGTTCCTCAAAGAAAATGTCTAGCTGACACCTCGTCAACTCAGCAAAGATGTTTGGGCACTCCACTTGCAAGGCTTCCCGGTCAATATGCACTTCCGGTAACATTTTCTTGGACGCCTTGGCATTATACCTGTCCTCAGCTGGTTTGGAGACAAACCTAGCGCGGTCAAACTGTTCCACACTAGATTGACCCCTAACTCTCGAAGAACTGCCCGGTCCACTAGCGGAGGACCCTGTGTTGCGTCTCTTCCTAGATGGATGCATTGTACCTGCTAAACACAGAATCTCCTATCAGTGAGGGTGTGAGTTGTGTGAACCATGGGTGGTTACTAGGACTTCACCACTATCATGGTCACATTAGCCCTTAGAATTCCATTGGGGCCATTCCATAAACACCTTGTGAGCAAGGCACTATCCTAACACATTAGCCCTCATTGATACATCAATTCCCCCCCACAACAACTAGACCTACATACAAGCACACACTTCTCTACAATATTGTGCACACTCTTCACTACAACATTAGGCACCTAACCCATTAAAAAGCAAAAGAAACAAAATATTTACTAGAAATACTACACAATTAAAACATTGAACTAACATAAAAACTAAAACAAAAATACAAGAGAATAGAGGGAGAGGCTTGACATACCTGGATGTAGGAGAGAGTGAGAGGAATGGAGGTTGGGGGAGATGGGTGGGATTGTGAGAGAAGTGAAGAAGGAGAAGAAGAAGAAGAAGAAGAAGAAGAAGAGAAGAGAGAATATGGTGATTTAGGGTTTAGAGAGAGAGAGGAGATGGGGAAAGTGAGGGGAGGGGCGAGTGGGTAATGGAATAAAGAGGGGGAAAAGTTAGAAAAGAAAAGAAAATAATAAAAAAATCGAAATTTAACTTACCTGGGCGACGATATTTAGCAAATCGCCGTGGTCGACCACGGTCCCACTGCGGTCGCGGTGAATGAAATACCTCGAGGTAGAATGTTAACGTTTCACCATGGTCGTACCGCAGTCGTAGTGAGTCGAGCAATTGCGAGTCAGAATACTCGTCCTTTATCGTGGTCGATCTGCGGTCATGGTCACGAGGATTTTTTTTAAAGAAGGTTACATAAGAAAACAAAAAAAAAACAACATTCATGGGTTGCCTCCCACGCAGCGCTTGATTTAACATCGCGGCACAACGTAGGCTCAGATCATCACTCCTCATTCGCGTACTGGGGCTCTTCCAACATTATTATCTCTCTATCCCATTTCTCTTCTGCTATTTGAAGGTAATGTTTCAACCTTTGCCCATTCATTGTGAACTTATTCGTCCCATCGTCTGATTCAATCTCTACAGCTCCACTTAAGAACATCTGCACCACTCTAAAGGGTCTGGACCATCGGGACTTCAACTTTCTCGGGAACAATCTCAATCTCGAGTTGTATAACAACACTAAGTCTCCGGATTTGAAGTTCTGATCCAAGATATGCTTATCATGCATTAGTTTCATCCTTTCTTTGTATAATCTAGCACTCTCAAATGCCTGGTACCTAAATTCCTCGAGCTCATATAATCCAGTGACTTTGCTGGTGCCTGCTGTCTCCATATCTAAATTCAACTGCCGCAATGCCCAAAGTGCTTTATGTTCGAGCTCTACCGGAAGGTGGCATGCCTTTCCAAACACCAACCTGTACGGTGACATACCAATTGGAGTTTTGAAGGCTGTGCGGTTCGCCCACAATGCATCATCCAACTTCTTCGCCCAATCGGTCCTTGTTGCATTCACTATTTTGTAAGGACACTTTTAATTTCCCTGTTGGACACTTCAACTTGCCCGCTCGATTGTGGGTGGTACGGGGTGGTCACTTTATGACGAACTCCATACTTTTCCAACAGCCGTGCGAATGCTCTATTGCAAAAATGGTTCCACCATCACTGATTATAGCTCTCGGGGTGCCAAAACGTGTGAAGATGTTTTTCTTTAGAAAACCCGTTACCCCTTTTGCATCATTGGTTGGGAGAGCCACTACTTCGACCCACTTGGAGACATAGTCAATTGCTACTAATATATATATTTGTTACCATACGAGCTAACAAATGGCCCCATAAAGTCGATCCTCCATATGTCAAAAACCTCCACCTCTTGAATTGTGGTCATTGGCATCTCGTGTCGACAAGATATGTTGCCTGTCCTTTGGCATTCATCGCAACTTTTAACCCAAGCGTGGGCATCCTTGAACAGAGTTGGCCAATACAACCCCGATTCCAACACCTTAGCTGCTGTCCGAATTCCTCCAAAGTGTCCGCCATATGGTGAAGCATGGCAAGCCTACAAAACAGAATGTTAATCTTTCTCGGGGATACACCTCTGGATCATGTTATCTACACATATTTTATACAGTAGAGGTTCATCCCAATAATAAGACCGACAATCGAGAAAGAAATTTTTCTTTTGAATTGAAGAGAGTTCATAAGGTACAATACTACTTGCTAAATAATTAGCAATATCAGCATACCATGGCGTCTCCTCCATTGTCACTGCTAGTAACTGTTCATACGGAAATGTCTCTGTTATATCCTCAACCTCTACCTTCCTTTCAGCTCCTTCCAACCTTGAGAGGTGGTTAGCTACTTGGTTTTCTGTCCTTTTTCTGTCACGGATCTCCAGATCGAATTCTTGTAGCAAAAGAACCCAGTGAATCAAGTGTGGCTTTGACTCTTTCTTTTCTATCAGGTACCTAATTGCTGCATGGTCAGTGTAAACAATAACTTTTGAACCAATCAAGTATGACCTGAATTTGTCGAATGCAAAAACGACAGCCAACATCTCTTTTTCTGTCACAGTGTAATTGAGTTGTGCACCGCTTAGCGTTCTGCTTGCATAGTAAATTGGGTGCATCAGTTTATCCTTTCGCTTCCCCAAGACTGCTCCTATAGCATAGTCATTTGCATCGCACATGAGCTCGAACGGTTGCTCCCAATTGGGTGCAACAATTATGGGTGCAGTCACCAATATCTTCTTCAGCTCCTCAAATGCCAACCTACAATCATTAGAAAACACAAAGGGTTGATCCTTTTCAAGGAGTTTACATAAAGGGTTAGCAATCTTAGAGAAATCTTTTATGAATCGCTTGTAGAACCCAGCGTGCCCAAGGAAACTTCTCACTGCCTTGACTGAAGTAGGCGGTGGCAACTTCTCAATCACGTCAACCTTAGCATGGTCAACCTCGATTCCTTTACTCGACACTTGATTCCCCAAGACTATCCCTTTTTCTACCATAAAATGGCACTTCTCCCAATTCAGCACTAAATTTGTCTCCACACATCTTCTGAGCACTCTTCTTAAATAGTGTAGATAGTCCTCAAATGAATCCCCACCACGGAGAAATCATCCATAAATACCTCCATAATGTCTTCAACCATGTTCGTGAAAATGGCTAACATACACCGTTGAAATGTCGTCGGTGCATTACAAAGCCCAAAAGGCATTCTCCGAAAGGCAAAGATGCCATACAAACATGTGAATGATGTTTTCTCTCTGTCTTCGGGGGCTATTGAGATATGATTGTATCCCGAATATCCATCCAAGAAACAGAAGTGAGATCGCCCAGCCAACCTGTCCAACATTTGGTCAATGAATGGCAAGGGAAATGGTCCTTCCTAGTGGTTGTGTTCAATTTTCGATAATCCATGCAAATCCGCATTCCCATGACTGTACGAGTCAAGATCAACTTGTTATTCTCATTTTGTACAACCATCATTCCTCCTTTTTCGGCACACACTGAACAGGGCTGGCCCAATTGCTGTCAGAGATGAGGAAGATGATACCCGTATCTAACCATTTTATCACTTCCTTCTTCACTACCTCTTTCATATTCGGTTTCAGCCTTCATTTATGTTCTTTAGAAGGTTTGTGCCCTTCTTACAAGAGAATCTTATGCATACAAAAAGCCAGGCTGATACCCTTTATGTCTGCCATGGTCCAACCAATGGTAGTCTTACATTCTTGTAGCACCTGTAGGAGTTGCACTACCTTCACATCTAGCAAACCAGATGATATAATAACAGGTAAAGTAGAATTAGGCCCTAAGAAAGCGTACCTGAGGTGAGCTGGAAGCGGTTTCAGCTCCAGTTTGGGTGGTTCCTTTACTGATGGTTTTGCTGGTGGTGCAACCCTCTTTTCTAACTCAAGGGACTCGAACTGAGGTTCCCTCTTCCAGAATCCTTGGCCTTCGAGTGCCATAACCCACTATGCTAACCCTTCACCATCCATCTCCTCTAAATTTGTCAAGCAAGCTCCCAATGGATCTTTAGCAGTCAGGATCTCATTATCTTCATGCAGGATCACATCCACTACCTCCACTAGGGAGCAATTAGCATAATCACTGTGTCTCCTCATGGATTGCTAAACGTTGAATATGAATTCTTCATCGTTCAACCTCATTTTTAATTCCCCAGTTTCACAATCAATCAATGCTCTCCCAGTGGCTAAGAATGGCCTCCTTAGAATGATGAGTATCACCTCATCTACCTGGAAATCCAAAATAACAAAGTCTACAGGGAATACAAACTTCCCCACTTGTACCAACACATCATTGAGAATCCATGTCGGCCTTTTAACTGTGCGGTCAGCCAGTTGCAACAACATCGAAGTCGATCTAGCTCTGCCAATGCCTAGTTTTGTATATATTGCCAAAGGCACCAAGTTTATGCTGGCTCCTAAGTCACACAATGCTTTTGCAAAGGCATAACTCCCAATAGTACACGGAATAGTGAAGCTACCTGGGTCAGACATCTTTTGAGCCATGGGTCTTGTCACTACCACACTACATGTCTGTGTCAGAGTTACTGTGGATAGGTCCCGAAAGTCAAATTTTCGTGACACTAGGTCCTTCATCATCTTTGCATAGTCGGACATCTCCCTCAAAGCATCCATCAGAGGAATATTCAATTGAATTTGACGAAGCATCTCCATGAATTTCCTATATTGATCTTCTTTCTTTTGTTTTGCTAGTCTCTGAGGGAATGGTGTAGGTATCACCCTTTGTGCACTGCTTGTTGGCTTCTCTTTGTTGGGGTTCTGTGGCACAAGAGGTACCACATGTTTTGCAACTTGTTTACTCTCTTTAGCCTTACCTTTATCATCCTGAACCTGTTCAACCACCACTTCAGTAAGTTCTGCTGATTCATCTACCTCCAATGGAACTGGAGTGGCTAGCGTAGTCCCTCTGCTGGATTGTGCAACTTCTTGCTCCCTGTCTAAATCTCTCCCATTCCGGAGACTTACTGCCATCAGCTGATTCGGATTTTTCTCCTTGGGGTTAATGTTCGTGTCGGTTGGCAATGTTCCATGGGGGCGGTTGTTTAAGGCCATGGACAACTGCCCTAATTGAGTTTCAATATTCTTTATTGCTGCGTCATGAACTGTCAACTTTTCCTGCATCTTACCATTTGTTCCAATGAGTTATTGAAACATACCCCTGATTTCTACCATGTTGCTGTCCTGTTGCTAAGGAGGTGGCTGATATGCCAATTGTTGCTGGTTCTGCTGTGGATAACCCTGTTGTCTCTGATATGGCACCATTTGGCTTTGGGGCTGCATACCGCCAGGTTACGACATGTTTGGTCTGTACTGCTGATTGGGTGCTGGTTTCCACTGTTGTCCTCCTTGTCTCTGACCCCCCAAAATTGTTGACATAATTCATATCCTCTCTTAACCCTTGGTTGTCACCTTCTCCACTCCATGAACACACATAAGACTGATTAATGCAAGGTGTACACAGTCCTCCATTTGTTGTGTCAACGATATGCACTTGCTTTGTACCCATCTCATCAATCTTCTTTGTCAATATACTCATCTGAGTCATGAGTATGGCTATGTTCTCTGCATGCAAATTATTTGGGTCAAAAGGAACTGAATGCACGATTGGTGTCAGGGTCGTACCTCTCGTCATCCACCCCGAATTCTGGGACATCTTGTCAAGAAGGATTTTACATTCTGTGAATGTCTTGATAAAAAATGCACCCCCAGCTGAAGCATCTACATTGGCTTTTAAATTGTCTGCTAACCCCATGTAGAATCTCTGGTTGAGCATCTGGTCTGGAATACCATGGTGGAGACACTTCACTAGCATCCCTTTGAATCTTTCCCAAGTTTCCTGGAAGGTCTCAGTAGGATGCTGCTTGTACTGTAATATCTCATCAATCTGTCTTGCAATCTTGTTGGGAGGGTAAAACTTGTTCAGGAATTGCTTGATTAATTCCTCCCAAGTGACAATAGAATTTATTGGAAGCGAATTCAGCCAAGTCTAAGCTTTCCCAATCATAGAGAACATGAACAGTAACAGCTTGATGGCTTCTAGGGTCACATTTGGCTGCCTTTGGGTCACACAAATCGACAGAAAATTTTTCAAGTGTTGTTGAGGGTCTTCAATGTGTGACCCGGAGAACAATCCCTTATTCTGTAGAAGATGCAGCATATTGTTGGTGATCTGGAATGTCTCTGCTTGTATCGGGGGCACAACAATGGCGGTAGCCAGATTGTCAGCTGTTGGTTGTGCCCAATTATAAATTGCAGCTTCTGACACAAGAGGTGCCACCGCTCTGACGTTTGGGTTAGCTTGCTCATCCCTAATGTTTCTGTTGACGTTATCTATGTCACCCATGTTAATTTCACGTTGGTGTGTTTGTTGTGATTGTTTGTTCTTCCTGTTGGCACGGTTTAATGCCCTGAATGTTTTCTCGGGGTCTTAGAGTCCTTCAAGCAGTTCACCAGTCCTCGATGAATCTCTAGGCATACACCTGAATCCCACAAGAATTCAAACGTGAGAATTTCAATGAAATGAAAATAATAATTTGTTTAACACCGTAGAAAATTGATCTAAACTAATAATTCTAGCACTACTTCTAAGTTGTAATAAATAACACCGTTAACTCCCCCGGCAACGGCGCTAGAATTTGATCACGCCCAACTATGCCTTATAAAAGACAAAGCGGTCGTTGCAAATATAATTCGATTTATAAGTCCGGAGTCGAATCCAGGGAGCTAATCTATCTATTACAACTCTTGGTGAAGTTATTAGCTCAAACAATTTCCGGGTGCAAGATTTCTATCAATAAATATTGGGTTTTTGTTTAACTACTTCAAAATGATATTATAATTAACAATAAACTAAATCAAAGATAATTCAATGGTAAAAAGGTCTAGGGTATTGATTTCTCCAATTGCTAGCTTAAGTCTTAACTCTTTGGCTATAATCTCGCTGTAATACTCTATGAGGATTATGAACTATGGGTTATCGCAATTATCTCTCGATCAACTACGATAATTTACTAGAGTATTCTCTCGAACTACTCTAGTTGACAATTTATGCAGCTCTGAATTATCCCACCAAAGTTTCGTTATCTCTAACCCCACTTTTAAGTTCAAGTAATGAATCTCTTCAATTACCCAAAAGTGGTGTTGTTCAACCGCAGTCTAACCTAGTATTCCTTCTCAAACAACACAACGCAAATAGACACGATTAATCAAGGGCCCATTCAATTAATCACCGTACAAAACATAGTTGAACAATCATATAATAAACCCGACTCGATTATAACAAAGTTGAGTCAAAACTTCATCCAACAATTGGTTCCATCAACCCTAGACCAAATGTTTAGCTACTCATAGTAAAGCAAGATAAAACTACAAAAGTATTCATGATGTGCAATTGCAATAATAAAGAGAAGATAGAAAAACTCTAATGTTTGGTTGCTCTTCTCACACTCGTTCTTGCCTCCAAATTAGTCTGAAAACAAGCTTAAAACTTTCTTGGGCGAGTTTCTTGAGTTTATAAGGGTTTGGAATAAGTTTCCCTCGATTTACACTGTAGTCCCAAAAGTTCTGGGCAACTACACAGTCTACCGCGACCGCGGTAGGAATGCGGTGCGACCGCGGTGAAACTCGAACATTCTGCCTTGCTTCCTTTGCCTATCACGGTCCAGCCGTGGTCGACCGCGGTCGCGGTGACCTTCAGCCCCGTCCTCCTTTGCTCTTTCTTGCTTATTTTCGCTCGGGTTCTTCTTGATTGGCCTTTTATCCACATTATTGACTCCCAAAACACTCCATAGTATCTTTGATTAGTCCATGCGAAGCAAAAGAGCACCAATTAGAGCATTTTGTTATCATTTAACCCTTAAAACAATAATAAAGTATAGTACATTTAGGTGTAAATATCGTCTATATAGCCTATTATTAGTGAGCTTAAAAAATTCTAACTCTTTTAGGTATTTGCAGTGGCCCTTAATAAATTTGACTGTCAATTTTAATATGTAGGCCAAATTTGGTCCACTCAAATTAAGGTTCCAACAGCTGCCACGGCGAAATATATTCGTAGTGTATCAAATGAACGCTTCGCACATGAAATCTGCACTTTCAGTTCATTATTATTAAGAGGATAAAATTTGGCTGTCCATAGTATTATCTAACCGTTACCTAATATCTTTTGACATAATTAGGATATTTAAATCTATATGTCCAGTACTTTTTACGAATTCAGACATCGGTTTCTTTATTTTTTTTAATTTATATTCATAAACTACTACATATAATCACTTTTTACAGTTAAAATGTTTGAAAATTATAGAAAAAAAAAACTTATTTACTCGTAAAATAGTACTAATAATATTGATGTTTTTAAATTGGGAGAGTACAAAACTATGTAAATATAAATATAGGTAAGGTAGAGAAATGAGGCCAAACGGCATTCTTGATTTGTGCAGAATATTCGTCCTCGTGCACTTGCATATCGGACAGAGTGCTTAACTGTGTCAAAGCTGGCTATTTTCTTGAAATTCCATGAAATTATTAAAAATAATAAACCATAAGTTTAGATTTGCACACATCTAATACATTTATATATGATTAAAATTTGATACTAAATTCCCCCCCACCCACTGGAAGGTAAGCTTTGCTTGATGTGCCTAAAGACTCTTTAAAGATTTATTGTTAATGAATATAGGTAGGAATATTAGGTGTTACTCCCTCCGGTCCACAATAAGTGACCAATTTGCTTTTGGCACACCTATTAAGAAAATATTAAATTCTAGACAAAAATAGTTAGTATAACTAAACTACCCTTAATTAAATGTTACAACATAGTTAATGTGATAAGTAAAAGACTTTTTAGGGATACATACATAAGAGTAATTTTGAAAAAATAAATTGAATTTTTTCTTGATTATATAAATGGACACTTGTTTTGGACCAAAATAAAAAAATAAATTGGTTACTTATTGTGGACCGAAGGGAGTAATATCTTTCTTCAATATCTTAGTATCATACCCATCTTCCTAGGAGTTTTAATACTTCCTCGGGTCCATTTTAGTTGTCATGTTTCTTTTACACGTCCCATAAGAACTTATTAATTAGAAAACATTTTGATTATTTAATGCGGTGTAGTTAATGTTGTTACTTTCAAGAACATTTAATACTAAGGCAAAATGGAAAAAATATAATATATTATACTTTGATTTTTTAAAATAACAACTACTTCCTCCGGTCCACTTTAATTGATTTTTTGGCTGTTTTCACATATATTAAAGAATCTAAATTTTGACATTAATTAATACTCCCTCCGGTTCAAAATAAGTGATTTTTTAGCTGTTTTCACACAGATTAAGAAATTCACCTTTTAACATTAATTATCAATAAAATTGACCATATTAACCTTTACTATCTCTTCACATAAATACTCTTAACAAATGCTCTAACACTATTTACTCCAAGGGTAATGTAGGAAAAAAATAATTAATTCATTCTTGAAATCACTTATTTTGGACTGGAGGGAGTAATAAAATTAACCATATTAATCTTCATTTGTTCATTGAAAATACGACAAATACTCCTGGCCTCTTTACTCCAAGGCAACTTTGGAAAAAAGAAATTAATTCCTTCTTAATATTTGAAAAAATTAAATATTGTGCCACAAGAAAAATGCCAAAAAATTAATTAAAATGGACCGGAGAGAGTATTTTGGGTCAAGTATATTTAGTAACCAGGACAACTAATATGGACCGGAGCAAGAGCGGATCCAGCCTATTACACGTAGGTTCCCATGAACCCAGGAGCTTTTACACACACACACACACACACACACACACATATATATATATATATATATATATATATATATATATATATGTATGTATTAAGAATCCATTAAATATTCATAAATATTTAATTGTTTAACCCAATTGCTTATTGTATATTTACTTAAGGTCGTTATATGAACCCATAAACTTTAAATACTGGGTCCGCCACTGGACCAGAAGGAGTAAAAAACATCTTTGAAGAAGAAATGACTTCAAATGGAAATATACATTTATATCTTATTCTCATGCTTTAATGCCTATAAACACCAATATTTATCTACTTGTGTAGTTTTTACTGTGAACTCCCCACAAACTATTGAAGTATTAATGAGCTCGTAAAAATTAGAATATAGTCGTTAGAAAATTCAATCCAGAAGATGTAAAGAATCTATCTCCAGGCTGGATCATACATTATATTTAATATGAATTTAAATACACGTGGAACAGTATAGTTACCCTTCTTGAATATTTCCAATGTATGTACAAGAATTCATAAATAAATACCTCTACCCCAAAACCCCACTCCACCAACCAGTGATGAATTCAACCACGTGAAACAACAGCAACAATAATAAATTTAGTGTGATTTTATAAATGGGGTCCGAAAAAAATAGTGTGCGCACAACTTTAGTCCTATTTGTGACACCAGAAAAATTATTTCCGATAGATTTTTGGTTTAGAAAAAGTATAGTTACAACCCTATTAAAAATATATATAGAAGTGGAGAAACCATGAAAACCGCACGGGTCGTGTGTTACAAAGAATTAACTATACATATCAAAAACTTGTATTCTTAATTCAAAATTCATGACATTTAAATTCTGAATTTGCCTTCACTACCAACCCAACCCCAATCTCATTCACTCAAAAGTTTCAATGCTTCTAAAAATCAAAACACTCAAAAACTTTGACTCAGATTCTCTAGGCCATTATCTACAAATTTGAAAACACCATTATTTCTTATCGCTATCTCTAAAAATGAAAGGAATCGATATATTCTGTGCGTCCCAAGCTGCAACTTCCATATGTCTTAGTATGCAAGAAGCCTCTTCTTCTTCTTCTCCCGTAATCCAACTAGGCGGCAGCGGCCGCCTAATTAATCGTTACAACCCCATCATCAGAGATTCCAGAATAACATGTGGCAGTGGTCGCAACAGGCCACTACCACCTCGTTCTTCTGAACAACCACCCATTTCTCCAAAACCAAAGAATATTAACAAGAAAAGTAATACATCTTCAAAACCATCAAAAGAAACCAAGAAAAGGCAAAGTGATCCAAAAGGTCATGTTGGTAAGAGAAAAAGTAGTTGGAGTTGTACAAAACCTAGTGAATTTATCACCCCACCTAGTTCTTCTAGGTATCTTTTGAGTGAGAAAGATTTGGTTGATGTTTTATGTGATTATAATGATCATGATCCAGTTTTGAATTCCAAGTCTTGTCATCAAGCTGTGAAAGTAGTGGCAAATAAGTCTTCTCCTCCAAAGCCACCATCTTCTTCTTCATGCTCTGGGGACCAGGTTTTATTCTCCCTCCTCCTCCTCTTCTTCTTCTTCTTCTTCTTCTTCTTCTTCTTCATTCGTAAAATAGCATTTTATTTTCTTTAACTTTATTTTTAATTTGTATAAACTGATTCTGTAATCTTTACTCTATCAAGTTAAATGAAAGATAGGTACATGTATTCGTCTATAATTAAATATTAGTAATCCAAAAATAGGCACGATTACAAATATTGGTTCCTTTAATCTTTTGATTGTTCTTGTTAAGTTGATCAACTGTTAGACACACAACCCAAAAAATAGAAAAGGCAGAACAAATACAAAGAAAACAAATAGGTGGTGCATCGCAATATCGTATTGGATGTGACCAACCCGTAATAGTTCTAGATTAGGGTCATTTGGTGGAGGAATAAGTTATCACAGGAGTATAATAACGGGATTATAATATGAGAATTAAAAAGTAACGGGATTATTTAGTAAATATATTTTTATTGATAGATATTTGGCTCATTAGACTAAAAATAGGATATATAAGAAATAATATAAAATAAGTGTTTGGTGTATACTATATAAGTTGAGATAAATTTTTATTTTTAATTTTAACCTTGAATTTTTTAAAGAACATTGGGAAAGAACCTTGAAAAACTATATTATAATATTTTATCTCGGATTAAGTAATTCCGGAAATACTATCCCCCCTTAATGTGGGATAGAATAATATCACAATTGTAGTACTCCCTCCGATCCACAATAAGTGATCAATTTGCTTTTTTATTTTGGTCAAAATAAGTGTTCATTTATATAATCAAGAAAAATTTCAATTTGTTTTTCCAAAATTACTCTTATGCATATCCCTCAAAAGTCTTTTACTCCTCATATTAACTATGCTACAACATTTAATTAAGGGTAGTTTAGTCACACTTACTATTTTTGTCTAGAATTTAGTATTTTCTTAATGGGTGAGCCCAAGGCAAATTGATCACTTATTATGGATCGAAAGGAGTATAAATTAATCTCGGGTAATCCCGATTAATTTAAAAATTCAACCGAATGCGGAATAGAATAATTTTTTATCTAATCTCGGAATTATTATCCCTTATCCCGCCAACTAAATGAATACCTATCCCACCTTCTATATCGAATAGATAATTCCATGATTGCGCCATAAAAGCTATCCTTGTTTTACTATTGAGTTACTATATTTTATGCCCTTCCTTTTTATGTCGAAGCAAGAAGAAATTTGTAGTTGTAACAAACTAACAAGTATCATAAAGACATCATATTTAGTTGTAGAGATGAGTGGTCCAACAAAGACAAACTAATGAATTTTGATAACAGGTGGTTGTTCTAAGAGTTTCACTACACTGCAAAGGATGTGAGAAGAAGATGAGGAAGCATCTCTCTAGAATGGAAGGTATGCCTCTGGACTTAATTTTGTGACAATCTTTCCTTTTTGTAGTTTAACCTATAAGTTTATTTCGGAAAAAGGATCAAAATCACCCCAACACTATGCGTTATAGAACACATTTACCTTCCGTTTAATAAGACCAATAAGGCTAATTAAATCCAAATTAATTTTTGAGTGAGAGCCGATAGCCAATAAGAGCATTTTTAGGCCTTTCCATTAACGGGAAGGACATAGATGACCCTAACTTTAAACACAGGACAAATGTCTTCTATAACGCATAGTTCAGGGGCAATTTTGACTATTTACCGAGTTTATTTTTCTTTGTTTTGATAAGTTTCCTTATGGGTTTTGTGCTAAATAAGCAGTCTAATGCACTTAATGGAGGTCTGAATCTTAATCATTCAGATATCAGACATTAAGTACGTTTGTTTTTAAAGTCTGAATCTTAATTATTCAGATCTTAATCATTAAGTGCGTCTGTTTTTTTTAAAACTTTACAACCACTTAATGGATTTGAATAGATTTGTATGATTAAGATCCATAACAAAGACTTAATTTCATTAATATGCTATCATCCATATTCATTATTAATTGTCGCCACGACCTACCATTATCAACTACCACTATGCCACCACCACCACCGCCATACTCAACCTCCATCACCACCATCATCCTCAATCATAGCCGCCACCATAATGGACTACCACCACTTGCCATCCGCACCACTTCCACCACCATCATTCTCAACCACAAGCACTCATCCACCTCAACTACCACAACTAACCACCCCATCATCATCAACAATCATAACTGGTACTACCCATCATTGTAAGCTACCACCACCACCTTCCTCAATCATAATTAACTATCACCACTCACCACCACATCCTCAATCATAATCACTACCACTACTAATCACCACTAGCTGCTACCACCACCATCAACCAAATCTACCACCAACCACCGCCTCTAGTTGACATTCACAAGCACCGCCATTAGCCATCACCACCAGCAACTACTATATTTTAAAAAAAAAATATATGTATATATTTCAAATAAAGATAAATTTTATATATTCAAATTTTGAAAATCAAACAGTCTTAATCATTTAGTATTCACATCTTAATACACATCTTAATATTCAGATGTGTATTCAGATTTAAATGTCTTAATCTTAATACACATCTTAATATTCAGATGTGTATTCAGATTTAAATGTCTTAATCTTAATACACATCTTAATATTCAGATTCAGACGTCTTAATCTTTAAAAAAAACAAATGAGGCCTAAATTGGCCCAATCTTTAGATGGACTAACTTGAGTTGTACCGAATTGACCTGTCAATTAATATATGTCAAGCCTAACTTTACCCAAATATGGGCATAATTTGACGCCACTATTAAAGAGCAATCCGGAGCATTAAGTTCTCACTATGTGCGGGGTTCGAAGAAGTGCAGAAGCACAAGGGTCTATTATACGCTGCCTTACTTGTATTTCTGCAAGATGCTTTTTCCATGGTTTGAACCCGTAACCTCCTGGTCACATGACAACAACTTTACCAGTTATGCCAAGGCTTCCCTTGACGCCACTATTCCTATCGCAAATAATTTTCACATTAACTTATGTATAACATGTAACAAAAGTAGAGGTCGAGTATTATCTAAAAAATTTAATTGTGATGAGCAGGGGTGACATCTTTCACCATAGACTTTGTTGCAAAGAAGGTAACAGTTACTGGGAATGTGACACCATTGGAGGTTCTTGCAAGTATTTCTAAGGTGAAAAATGCACAACTTTGGCCACCTACAGTGGCATCTTCAGTCCCTTCAACCAAAGCTGATTTGATCGACTCTGAGTTGAAGAATGCTAAGCAGTTGGTTGTGTCTGATGGGAAATTAGAAAACCTTTCTCGAAATCCACCAGTTTTCCAGCTATTGTAACTTGAATATTTATTTTATTAGACAAAGAGAAGGATTTAGCTTGGTTTTGCTTTCTTATCTTATGGTTTTAACTTGTGGTATTAGTAAGCTTCTATTCTTGAGAAAACTTTAATTTGATACGTATGTAGTAAGTGATTTCTTTAGCAACTAGCGAAAAATACACACAACTAAGTTGATTGGGCTGGTGATCGGAATGATAGAAAATCAACATCCTGTTATGCTTTCTTACTTAATGGTGGTGCTATATCATGGAAAAGTAAGAAATAAACCTGCACAACCCTTTCAACAATGGAAGCTGAGTTCGTGGCTTGCGCGTCTGCAGTACAAGAAGCTGTTTGGTTGAAGAGATTCTTTGAGCATTTGAATAACAAAGAACTCTTAGGGTCCCATGACTCTATATTGTGATAGTCAAGCGGCTATTGCATATACAAAAGATCCTAAGTATCACAGCAAGACCAAACACATTGACATCAAGTATAACTTTGTAAGAGACATGGTAGCAAGTGGAGAGAAAAATTTACAGTACATTCCTACGCGAAGCATGATAGCTGATCCTTTTACAAAGGCGATATCTAGAGACCTGTTTGAGAAACATGTTATGGCTCTAGGTTTGCTGAGGATATGAACATATTTATGTGTTGTAAAATGACTTTAGTATTATAATATGCTCATCAATATTTGACTCTTGAATTTTTCTATATCTCGGATGCATGTGATGAATATTTTGTTGATAAAGTGTGTTGAACAAGTCGCGAGATTGGCTCTCTCACACGAGCAATCGCCTCTTGCGTTAAGAATCGTGAAGGGATAAGACCTTATAGAACCTTGGATATGCGGGGTTATATTTACTTATAGAGGTTGTTCTTGATAGCTTGCGAATTTCACTATTCGATTATGACTTGTTTTGTATGCCATATACGAGTTTCTCTAAGAAGATGGTTTGAGGATTATTGAAGTGAGAAACTCGGATTAGACACTTGAAGGTGTCTAGACCAAGATCTGTACGGTGTTGGATGATTAAAATAATAAGACACGTGTGCCAATATAAGGTGAGAACACCGTGACATGTGTTTCATACCACGTGTGCTATCGACAAATGGGATAATGGAAGAATGAATCCCTGCTTCTTTATTGTGTGAGATCCCAAAGAAGTTAGAGTAATTGTTATTGAAATACCCTATGACCTTTTACTCAGGGGCGTACACAAAACTTTTTGCAAGCGGTGTCACATTTAAAGAAGGGAACAAATAACCGAATTACTTATTTTCTCCACAGTAAAAAATAGATTGGGCGTTATCCCATTGGTTATAAGAAATTTTTGTTTAAAGGAGGTCAGGAGTTCAAATCCTGCTCAACCTACTTTTTTTCTCAAACAAAATAAGCTTCAGAAATAGCTAAAAAAAGAGTTACTAGGGAGGATCGATCCCTAGACCCACAGGAAATAAGGCAGGAGCTAAACCACTGGACCAAGAACAGAGTTGTGTTAAGTGGTGTCACTCCTGTCTATATATACATATTTGATAAAATTTTCGTATTATTCGTATGACATTTGGTAAAATATTTTGACGAAGTGGTGTCACGTGACACCGCTTCACTATAAGTGAATCCGCCCCTGCTTTTACTGTCTCTTGAAGTGCCAATCAGTATTGCTATTTTAGCATGCCACTAATAGCCATGATTGATTCGGCAACGCAGTGCATGTCTAGGAAGGCAGTTGATTTGGAATGGAAAGATTCGAGTTGAAAGGGAAGACGACTTAAATTTAGTAATTTAACTTGTATTCATAGATCGACCATTACACTTATCATGAGAGTATTGGGTATAATTGTGGATACAATGTTATATGAGAACTTGAGTTTGCCTCTTTCGAGGATGAGGGATTGAATAAGTAGCAACTGCATGGCGAATGATGTATGGGGTATTGCGAGTAATAATATCCTCATGCCAGTAGTGAATCCTTTTCATATGTGATTGGATTTCTACATAGAGCTTTAGTTCAACCTTTAATTGGTTTTGGAAATTTACAGCTCTTTGTGCTCACAGGTCGCACCAACTATTTGCCAGTATGAAAAGTGTGTCAAAGACATCGGTCTAGCCCACTATGAGCGAAGTGGGATATGTTGGATTATGGGTCTCTCCATGTGGGCTGACCCGACCCTGTTAGGAGAGATAAGGGAGAGAGGTTAAGGGAAGTTACCACTAGACCACAAACACCCACTAAACTGAACGTGCAAAAAGGGGTGAGTGGTGGGTTATCTTCCTAAACCGTTGTTTCTCTGCCTATTTATGTGAAGGAGAAAATATAGAACTACGTACAGTGAGAATTTTCTCTGAATCTCTTCTTCTCCCAACGAAAAATACACACAAGTAAGGGCATCTAATTGGTGGAAGATTAACTTTGTTTCCTAGTGATTCAAAGTTCGTTTGGGACAATTGTTTCGGTGGTGAGTTCAACAATTTTTCCGTTGCATTGACAGATATACTAATGTTGTTCTCGCCCCACGATTATTAATCTAACAATTTATTCTCGCGGGACATAGTGGTGCACCCTATTCTAGAAATCCTCCGCCTTTGCTAATGGCCAAGTGTTGAATTGAACAATGTGTGCGCTCACAAGACTATTATTCTTTCTTGGCTTAGAAATAAATTGAAAGAACCATGGAATAGCAAGAAAAAGAATAAAGAACATCTAAAATTTAATCGATTCCCACATCACATCTATACAAGTAAAGCAGACACAAATAATAGTTACAGAATACGTATAATCATAGTTTTTCCATCTTTTGCAGCTATTGTAAAACGGAAAAACAGTACCCCGTCTGTCCCAAAAACTTTCGGCACTTCAGTTATACCAAATTTAGCACATTAAATAGAGACATCGCTACACCATAAATTTTAGACACATAAGTTTACCTTTTTTTCCGGGGTAAACTAGGGAACCTGCAACCTTTATTCTTTGGATGCGCTTTAAGTAAACCCCGTTTCAGTGCAATAGCTCGCAAACTTTACTAAAGAAGTAAGCCGCACTAGGGAAATCTCGTGCGATGAGCTCAGCCGATGCAAGGGGTTTTGAACTTGCGACTTCCCAATGGGGAATCTAATGCTCAACTAACTCAGTCACCCTTGCGGATAGTCTCCCTTTTTTCGTAGAGGTCTTTTCAAACGTAATAAATTTTACTATTCCTTTTTTCGAGTTACAAACCTTTGGGCATGATATCGCTAACATCGATCTTCTTCTTTTTTTTTGTTTTTTTTTATTTCCCATCCGGTGTCTGGTACACACATTGGAGCCCGACTATATTTGGATTTGTGCTGTGTAGGGCTCCATTCGAGGGGAAGTGCTCCCTACCAAGGATTTTTTCATACCCAGGACTTGAACCCGAGACCTTAAAGGAAGAACGGTCTCATCCACTGTACCACATCTTTTGGTGGTCTAACATCGATCTTCGCATAACGACATTTCCCACCAAGACATTCGTGGAGGTTAGCTATGACTTATTTCCCCTTTTAATTGAAACCTAAATCATATATAGTTGAAATTTCAATGACCTTAATTCATACTATTGATTTTCAGTTGTTATCTGTCACTTTAGACTCGACGCAAATAAATTACAACTATGTCACAAAATTGTCTCTCTTTAATGCACACCCAAAATAATATATGAAAACGAGATAATACACGTGCAACTTATTTTCCTCTTAAATAGAACGTCGTGTACAGGTGAATTGCTAGTTGATTTATAAGCATGATTGCATCATATTTAGCTAAAGATTATTTTATCCTAAGGTTGATTTAAAGTTATACTCATTATTAAGTATCAGAGATTGTTAGGAACTTCTTTCGTTAGGAAAATATTGAATGAAATTGAAATTCGCGGTTCTTAATCAGTAGATAATTTTAGTAGTTATTTGCACGTTAAAAAACAATAAAAAAAGATACAAATTGGTTTTATTTGTTTTGTAAGGGCAATTGACTGCCACAATAAAAGGCATAAAATTCCCTCAAACCTAAATGATCCATGCATATTATATCTATTTTTTATATGTATGCTTTTATTGTTAATGATATAATATCCACTTTTAAAATGAAAGTTATCAATAATATTTATTTTTCCTATATATTAAAATAATTAGACAAAAAGAGAATACTAAACCGAGTTAGTTACAAAATGAACGCATGATGCAAATAAAAGCACATTTGGGGGAATAACTGTTGCGGATATAGTGGGATTGTATAAAATAAAAATAAAACTACCCAAAATGAGAAGTAGAAAACTGCTAGGGTTTTTGACTTTTGTAGTAATTGGATAAAATTAAAGATCCGTTTTTCACTACGAAGTTGTTATCATAAGTAGAAAGAAAATAAGATAAATATCAACCCAATAATCCTCATAAAAACAAACTTCCCTTCTTTTTTTCTTCTTCAAAAATCAAGAATGAACAATCTCTCTTTGTCATCTTTGAAAAAACTTGACCATGAAGATGAACTTCTTCTTACTCTTTCACTTTCACCTACAACACCAATGGATAGTACTATTCCACCCTTTTCATTTCCTTTAAACTTAGTGATACCACCACCATTGCCACCGTCGCCGCCACCGCCACCTCCTACTCTTCTATATGGTAGTGACGTCAATATAGAAGAAAATATTGTAGAATCAAATGTGGCCCTAGTTTATGATCAGATGAATGAACCATCAGGAGCTCGTATGAGAGTTGGTTTAACAGCACGAACACGAAAAAAATCTACACCATCTCTTAAAGAAGGAGAGAGTGAAACAATCACACCACCCTATCCTTGGGCAACTACGAAACGTGCCATAGTGCACACTCTCGATTATCTTATATCGAATGGTATTACTGTTATATCGGGTGAAGTTCAATGCAAGAAGTGCCAACAACAATATCAAATACAATACGATTTGCAAGAAAAGTTCAAAGAGATTGCTACATTTATATTAAAAACTAAGAGTGTTATGCGTGATAGGGCACCTATTATTTGGATGAACCCTAATCTTCCTAATTGCAAATATTGCAACCAAAACAATTGTGTTAAGCCAATTATATCCGAGAGAAGGTCGTCAATAAATTGGCTATTTTTGCTATTAGGGCAAATGATTGGATGTTGCAAACTTGATGCATTGAAATATTTTTGTATGCATACAAAGAATCATAGAACAGGTGCTAAAGATCGTCTTGTTTATCTTACATATTTGGAGCTATGTAAGCAATTGGATCCAGAAGGACCCTTTGATCGATAAAATGTTTACTTTTTATTCTTTAATTTTGTTGTAAATTATATTTTAGAATGTCGTTTTAGTATGTCTTCATATGGAACAAGATCCTAGAGGAATAACGAGAAAAACGTTTTATTTGGATTGTGAGTTTCACACGTGTAAGAAGGGGAAATTATGGAAAAAATATTGCAAGTTATGTCAATATGGTGTGCTTTATGATAGTGACATGTTGAATTATCATTCTTGTCTAGGACCAAATTCAAAAGGTTTGATCGTTCTTAAAATAATAATCGGAAAAAATGTATATTTATATATATATATACGTTTTTATATGCTAAAGACAAAAAATATAGTATAAATTTTAAATAATTTGCGGCTACCATATATAAATAATTTAGGCCCC